CAAATTTGTTGTGTATTAATTATTACATATATTGACACAATTATTTCTCGGAAAAAAAATCCTATAAAGGGTGATAAAATTCGTGTATTGCATTTGTAATAAATGATGCATGGTTTGCAGCTTATTGGGTTTTAAACTAATCAAAAATAAAAATTCATTTTCATAATTATTTTACGATATTTTTAAACGTTGCTTGAGGTTTTTTAATAAGCTTTTAAAGACGATACGAGAAAATAAATGGCTCGGGTGCAAACGTGTGACCTCAACTATTCTGTCTTTAGTAATCTATCCATTATAATGAGCTGAATATTACTCAAGTAGTCATCATCAGTACTCTCATGGTTCATATTAGTTTTAGTCGTCATAGAATGTATTTTACTACTGTAATAAATTCATGTCATTTGTTTAGTCGTTCATTAATATTCTTAGATACATTACAACAGCCTAACTCATCCAATAACACGTTCTTATAGTCTGAAGTTATATATCCTGTATTACTTATTCATATGAAGCACAATAACATATCCTAGACGTCTTTTGCTGAGAAACAGCATTATAGCAGACACAACTCTGACACTATCTGCTAAACGGCACACTAACAAAATTTGATGCTAAAATGCTTTTCCTATAAGAGTAGTTACGGTATTAGCTACTTGGTAAAAAGGAAAGATGTCATTGAGTGAAAATAGGCAATATTATTGTCATAAACAGCTAAAGAACATAATTTAATGCCCAATGAACTAACATTTTAATAACAATAAGGGATATTAAGGGGTCAGTACTATCATTAAAATGTACCGAAACGTGAATTTAAGGGACACTCCATTTTTACGACGGCTGTTAGCACGGATTTGCTTATTTTGGGCTTGATCCTTAATTACGCCGTTGCCTTTTTTAATATAACAGTGAATAAGCTTGACAGTAGTACCTATTAATATTTAATTAATAATAAGACTTTAATTTTCTATGGTTTATAACCCTTGTCGGTATTATTACCTACTTCTAGAATTGTGTGTATGAAAGTGTGTAATAAGAAACCTGTCGTCTAGTTAAATGAAATAAATAAAAAAAACAACAAACGTAAAGTATTACGAAATTTACACCTAAAATATTCACACAAAAAAATATGCACGAATGGGCAGACCGGTGTGAAGTGCAAGTTTTTTACTTCTACGTTTCATCTGTTGAGTGAGGTTGTCGGGGCGCACTTTAATAAAAGGTCGAGAAGAATTTGCAATCCTGCGGGTGTCATTACTTAACATCAGGTGAACCAACAGCTCGCTTGCCATGTTCTTGCAGAACAAAAATAATTTAACCCAAAATGCAAAAAACATTATTTTAAAGTATAATTATCATATTATTTACAATTGAAAACATTTATTTTCTTTTTATACTTACTATTCACATAGATGGTAAGACAATACATCTTAACTGATAATTATTCTATTGTATTAAGATATTCTTTGTGTGTTACGACAAATACGTTTTCTTACGTTGAATTGTATTTAAAATCTTCCTGGGAGACAATAATTGTATTGTGTAACATTTGCAACATTTACACACCATTAATACATAAACAAGCACGCCTGTCGCGACACCAATATCATTGATAGTGATTACTGAGATACTTCTCGAAACATCAAGCGATGGACTCAGAGCGGTAAAATAAAAAGCCAGTAATTGAGAAATTTTTCATACAAATGTTTCTGTTTTGAACCTGGTTAGAACAAAATATTTCTTTTTTTCATTGTCTAAAATAGAGTAGATGTCCATTTAAAGTATTTTAAATTTGACGCATTATATGTTTTAAAGCTTTTCCATTTTTATTAGTCATAGCTTGGACGCTAATTTTAATAACGAAATAATGTAATGGATAAGTTGAGAATGATTTATTCAAATGCTTGATTAAGGATACCATGGCGACATTAAACATGAAAAAGATTATCAGTGGTGCTTTTCAAAAACATTTAAATACTTAATAGTTTGAAATACTGTGTGGGAGTAAAATTTCTTATGCTTATGAGTTTTGTTTCGAGACTGGGATAACTAGAGATAATTTATTCTAAGTAATATACACACACACACAGTTTGGTGCTGTTCATTAGTAGTGTTTATCACTTCACAGCCTTCTTCTACACCGCCTGCTCATTTGCCGCCTTTTCTAATAAAAGTAATAAAATCCGCTAAGACCTCATTGCTTGCGACGCCAATTTATCGCGATATCCAAAGACAATAGCGCCATTATTCCAAGCCGAGCTAGTTAACAATGAACCAAACGCTGATTAAGCAGTTCCCTGAGGATCGTAAATTATTATGTACCCAAGCAGCTTGCAGATACGATGCCTCGAGTCTGTGACCACCTAAGGCCTCTGGATATAATAATTTGTTATAGCTAACACTTTGCCTTAAATCAAACAGACCTACAATGCGATATTCAAATGAAGGGACGCTTAACTCAGTAGGCTAAAGCATCTGGGCCACGCTTCGCTTTTAATCCTGACAGCATGAAAAATTTTTCGACAGCTAAATTAAACTAACATTTAAATTCATTAAAGTTACATCATCTTTTGCACAGTTTATTAAAAAACATGAAAAACAATTATAAATAATTCAGTACTACTTATTTAGTACTTTTCCAACTAAGTTAAATAAAAACATAAATATCTTAAGGGTAATCGGGCATTGTAGTTATTTTTTTTACACCATACATTGCACGGTGTGTTGAAGCTTCCGGTCATGAATTTTTTGCCCAAATCGAATATGTTCAACCATCGCTATATCATCATCATCTTCCGTTATGTGACATCTTGAAAGCAATTTATGGTCATAAAACACTTGTAGGAACGGTTCCTACAAGTCGGTGAGACGGCAAAGGTCCGCAACGGAAACATGGCCATACGTTGATTTATATTCGGACCCACAATACGCGAACGCCCGACCATAAATATTATAATGTCCATCCTAACTATCGCTTTGGTATTTATTGAAGCAAATTATGCATTGTCCATGTTTAATTCTATTACTCAGCAGGATACTTCTCGTGATAAACTATTTTTTTATATGGTGGAGATATCTTAAAACTATGGTACATTAAATGTACTAAAGTAAATTTTCATCAACTTTTGCTAAGATAATGAATTAGCCCAAACAGAATATATTTGTTAATGATAATAATCTTAACCGAAATCAATGATATACTATTAGTATCTTTGGTTTATAACCATTTAAATAACGCGCGAACAAAAAGGAACCAAGTACGGTTCTAAAGCTTTAATAATTTTCTACTTACATAAAAATATGCTTAGTCAATGTAGATAAATTTATTTTTTAATCAGTTTATTCTTGACATATCATTTTATCGCATACATAGATTAGTGAATTCATTAAAACAGTTGGATAGCGATGTCGTAACAATTTTGCAAATTAGTAACACATCAAGAATTGACCAGACTCGCTGTGTTACAAAATGATTTTTAGAATTATTATTGTTTTTTTATTCTGCACAACATTTGTTAGAACGGTCAAAGTATCCTTTGAAGGTCATAAAGTGTATAAAGTAGTCCCAGCAACAGAGAATGAAGTTAAGATTGTCTCGGAGATTCAAACGCGACACATTGGAGAATTTTGGCTGGACCAGTTCGATGTGCATAATGGTGTCCGGATAACAGTCCCACCTGAAAAAACTAACGAGTTTGTACACCTTATGGAAACAAATAATATTGAATACAAAGAATTAATTCCTGATTTGCAAAAGTGAGTACCGAATGATTATTTGTTTCTTTTGATAATATGTTTTTATTATACTACTTTGGGTGATGGTACTTTGGGTGATTGAAACATATGAAGATATAGATTACTATCAGTTGTAGGAATAACATAGGGTATATTATTTCAACATTACATCCACTCAAAAAAATCGGAGTTTTAGTGTTTTTCATGCAGTCGGGCTTATGTTTCATATAATTTGTGCTTGTTAAATCTACATATATATTTCCTGGGATCAGGTTCTTATTATACCCACTAACGAGTAACAACTAGACTATAAATTTAGCGTAGAGGGCATTAAAGTGAATTAAAATGGCATTGCGATTAAACTTGTGAATTTAATTATTGTAATGAGGTTTATCATATAATTAAAATGAAAAGCTCCATTTAAGTAAATTAGGGAGAATATTATTTATTAAGAGTTTTATGAATGTCGTTACAATTAAAATGTTCTAAATAAATATAAACCCCTAAAATGACTAACACTACTCATACTACCGTCATTGTAAAAATACAAAAGCTGTATCCGACATTTTTCCGTTGTGTAATTCTATCTTCTTATTTAGTATAACAGCCATAAAATTATCATTCAGTCGTAATCAAGGAATCTATCTTTTCGATTTAATCTTATCGTGGCATAAAGTGGCATAAAAGTTCTAAATAAAATTTTAGGGTCATTTGCAATAAATAAAACTCCATAAAAGAAGGAACCGATTAGTGACTTAATAATTTTAAATAATTAAATCTTTATGATATTAACGTTTAGCTGCTAAAATTTAAATTTGAAAAGTTTACCACTCACCAAAAGAACGAAAAGATATTCCCCGCGGGAATCGAACCCACATCTACAGGATTTGCATCCAGACGCTTTAACAACTAAGCCACACTGACGAAAATTTCAACATTTTTCTTTATCTCATTGTCTTTACGCATTTCAAGCAATAGCTACAACTCACATCTCAGGATGTGTTGACGGCTTATTGTACCATAGACTTTGTAAAGTGGGACGTAAACGTAGGGAGTTAATCAAGCAATCATTACTTTATCGTGTTTAAATAATGTGTTTTTCCGATTTTAGAGTCATTGAACAACAAATGAGACCATCATCATCGCGTTCCGGGGCCTCCCCGAATCTCTTTTCATTCAGCTGGGATAGGTATCATACACTCAGAGAAATATATGATTGGCTAGATGAACTTAAAGCTAACTACCCTAATATAGTAACCACAGTGGTAATGGGAAGATCAGTTGAGAACAGGGAGATAAAGGGGATTGTAATTAATTACAATCCAGGGAGAAATAACACCTTCATAGGCATGATAGAGGGTACCCTTCATGCTAGAGAGTGGATAGTACCAGCTACCGCTACTTGGATTATTAAAGAGTTTTTAACAAGCTCTGATCCAGAAGTTCGAGCCTTAGCACAGAATATAGAATGGCACATCTTTCCAGTGGTCAATCCTGATGGATATGAGTACACTTTCACTACGGTGAGTAATCTTGCGTTGATTTAATAGTTTCAATGCACAAATCAACAATGAGAAATAACTGCGATGAGGTTAATTATAAAATTTCTTAGTTAATTTTATCTAAATTAATAGTGGCATTGTGATTGATGTATTAATTATTATCATAGGTTATCCTTTCGCAGTATTATAGTAGCGTACATTAAAAGTAATGTTAAAAATAGTGTTTCTTTTTTTCTTCACTCTTTTTCAATAGTAATTATCGTTACTTTGGTGAGTTTGTAGTTTTAGGTTTGTTTAAATTGTTTATTTATAATATTCACTTTTTTATTTGTTCACAGGAATACACTTAGTTCACAACTAGTTTCTTACTAATGTGCGTAACTGTGTATATATTTGAGTTAAGTTCAGCTGCGTCATTGTCTCCTCCTAAAAATGCCTACATCTTACCAAAACGTTTATTTTTTTCATATGTGTTTCTTTTTCAGCATAGAATGTGGAGAAAGAATCGCAGCACGCGAAACTTTACATCGTGTGCAGCCACAGGTGTAGATGACGACATGAGTAATGGGGTTGATCTCAACAGAAACTTTGATTATGTTTGGATGAGTGAGTTCTATAATTTTCTCTTTTAACTTCAACCGACTTCAAAAACGAGGAGGTTCAAAATTTGGTTGTATGTTTTTTTTATGGGTTAAAAGACCTAGCAAGTTGAAATGACTGAGGTCTATTGTATCGAGTAAAATTAAATGTATGGTAATGAAATATTCATGCGTGAAGTGGAAGTATTATTCTTTCGCGTTTCCTCTGGTGAGTGAGATAGCTGAGATTCAGTTTTTTAATGTTGGCAACTAATATGCAACCTGCAAGGTATTATAAATAACCATGATCAGCGGTAATCAGTTAACAGTTAATAAAAAAGTATTACAAGTGTGAATCGAATTCGCGACTGGCTACTTCGCTCGTCCGGGTGTTATTTGTTTATTTAATTTGTTCGTAAAATACAGCATAACTGGCTGACAGTGGGGTTAAGGATAAGTAAAAAATATCAAAACTCCACATGATCATATTTATTTGTGTTTAATCTGTTTGAACTTCGTGTATCTGTAAAGTATATATAGTTCGCTTAGACCGCAGAACACTTCTGGTCGTGTTGCATAATATTGTCATTCTAATGGCCATGTGTACTTTCTCAGAAATCGGTGCATCGGACAATCCGTGCACCAACACATTTGCTGGACCTTCGGCATTTTCTGAACCAGAATCAAGGGCGGTGGCTGATTACGTCTTAGCACTCAAAAATCAAGGAACTTTGATCTACTATTTCGGTCTCCATTCGTTCACTCAATTGATTGTCATACCATATAGTCATATGACCGTTGCGGAATCTGCGGTGGCAACGAACTATGCAGATATGGTAAGTTTTGTTGTTGCTTTTTCCCTCCCTTTCCCGTCAATAGACAACTATAGGATCAGTGGGCCTCTTTCCTTTGTAGTCCACATTGTGCGCATTCGGATCTTATTCGTGTATTTCTCTTGTATTTCTTATGTATTTCTCTTTATCATTTAATTTGCGTACATCAGAAGAGTAAAAAAGTTGGATGACAACTTATTTTCAATACTTTAAATAGAATGTCAGACCAAATTTACATAGGGTTCGAGTTAAAAGCCTGTGTTACACCAAAGAATGTTTTTGAATTAAAATGGTTGAATATATTATAAAATTATTAAAATAAAAATGTTAGTTAATTCACATTGACGTTAATATTTTTTTCTTTCAGTTCGAAATTGCGATAAGGGGCGCTACGAAGTTAAAGGAGAGATTCGGAACTGAGTATAGAGTTGGTGTTTCAGCTGACATTATGTGTAAGTCCTTCAATTCATTGAAATTATTCTAGTATTGTAGTATTCAATAATTCCTCACCAAAAGGTCATTGTTATCAGCCAGGATTGACTATTACACTCCCTTCAACGTCCACTGTTGAACAAAGGCTTCCCCCCTTAGACGGCTATTTCTAGAAAAGCCACACCTTAGAATTTCAATTATTTTAATTATTTTTTAGAAACATTCTACGCTGAAATACAATTTTGTATGAAAAAGGCTAAATCTTATAAGTGCTTCTGCCTATTTGGAAAAAAAATTTTGAGCCTACATGCATTATATACGGTAAAAATATCGGAATTAAAAATATTTTTTTTATTTAATTTCAACTACCAACGGTGCATGTAACAAAGATGTGAATGCTATTAATTTTATTTATATAAATATCTGTGTGTTTCTTGTATAGTAACTGCACAAATTATTTAAGCTAATTTCCCTTATTTCAGATCCAATGAGTGGTACTAGCTTCGATTGGGTGAAATATGCAACAAACGTTCCAGTTTCGTTCCTTATCGAATTTAGGGACCTCGGGGAATACGGGTTCCTTCTTCCGCCTGAGCAGATTATTCCCAATAACTTAGAAGTCATGGATGCCCTATTAGAGATCGACAGGGTAACCAGAGAATTGGGCTACTATTCTGGGACGATTCATTTAGTGTGTTCTTTACCGCTGCTACTAATATCAGTTGTATTGAAATTGTTAATTAATTAAAGTGATAAGCAATGTTTGATACTTCTTACGTATTTAGTGGATATAAGGTCAGAACTCCTGTTAATTATTCAATAATAATTTTTATGACACAACTTGTTTTATTTAATTTTTATTTTTTTTTATTGTTTTTAAAGGTATAGTCTCAAAAGCGCTGGTAACTTTACAGGATACGAGTACACTCCGTCACTCGCTATTGTTAAGTCAGTTAGCGTTACATTATATGGAAAATAATTGCCTAATTAATTTAATAAATTTATATACCATTTAAATTAATATACCTATATTAATTTAATACTAAAATAAGTGTCTTTATTTTACATAGATTTTGTTTATAACTGATTTCATGTTACCTGCATATATTTAAAAAAAATTATTAGCCTCACGGCGATAAAAATGGGATAAGCGTTAGAAAAATATGACATGTCTCTTGATGGTAATCTAATATTATATTGGCATAAAAATCAGAAGCGACGTCTATTGCTAGTATTGATATCTTCAATAACGTTCATTACGACGAAGCGTTACAAAGTTAAATAAGATCAAGTATCGGAGAAAGTAACAAGCAGTAAGTAAACATTAAAAGAGTTCATTCAATTGTTAGAGACGTCAAAAGCAACCGCTTTGAATTTCATAGCTTTATAATAGTGGAGTAATGTCCAATACGCGTTCCGTATTGGATTATTTGGATTATATTATTATTAACTTCGAAATTTTTTGTTAATATTTAAATTCGATATGACCGTTTCTTTTTGTTTACCTTCTCTGCTGAAAATTTTGTACAACATAGTCATCATCTGTTACTTCCTTAGTTGCGTCAGGTTTTTGGCGAACCCAAGGAACTGAAGGACTCAATCAATATTTACATAAATCATCACTTCAGAGTAAATTTTATTATCTTGATTCCTTGTATTTACGTGAAAACTACATCGCAATTGATAAATATTTCGTTCGAATTCGGACTGACAGACGTCGTTAATTTCAGATTACAATTGCTGTATTGTTTTATCATAATTCTATTGATTACGCTTAGGACATTTAAAGCTAGGTCACTGATAAAATTAATCTTAAAAATTTCCGATAACAACTTATTTCATTATTGAAATTACTTGTTTATTACCCATTTGGAATTTTTATGCAGTGCACGTTTACTAAAAATGTTTATCAAATATTTGTTCATATTAAATAGTTTAGTATTTTGCATTCAGGCTTACAAGAGTTACGAAAATTATAAGGTGTATGATGTTGTTCCAAAAAATGACGCGCAAGTACAAATTTTACACGATTTAAAGAAAGAAGGCTACGATTACTGGACTGATGTTTTCACTGTTAATAGTAATGTAAGAATAATGGTAAAACCGGAAAAACAAAATGAATTTGTTAATTACTTGGAAAAAGTTGGCTTAAATCCCTCAGTCAGCATAAGTAATGTAAAGAAGTGAGTAGATCTTCAGTTGTTAATTTTGTTTTAAGTGTGTAACAAATTTGTATTTGTTGGTGGTGGAATTTGTCAATGGTTGATGTTTTTCCTTAGATGCAGCTAACTGCTCCAAATTTTCTTTTCCTTTTTAAGGTTAATCGAGGATCAGTTAAAACCATCTATAGTTGGGAGTGATCGTAGCAGTACTCTTGGTTCTCTCACTTGGACTCGGTATCACACTCTTAGTGAAATCCACGCTTGGCTGGATGAACTAGTTGAGTTATACCCAGGAGTTGTTCATACAGTCAATATAGGAGCGTCGAATGAAGGCCGGCCCATAAAGGGAGTAATAATAGACTTCAAGCGTGGTGATAGGGGACAATTGCCACTTGTTGCAATGATAGAAGGTGGCATACATGCTCGAGAATGGATTTCTCCAGCCACAGTTACATGGATCATCAAAGAATTCTTAAGTAGTAACAATCAAGAAGTACGTAATTTGGCGGAAAACTTCATTTGGCACATATTTCCAGTCACAAATCCTGATGGATATGTCTATACTTTTTCAAATGTAAGTAGTAATGTTTTTGGATCATTAGCATGTACACATTTTTATTAATGATCTAATACATCAATTAATGAACTTTTTTTTCTATATAATGCCTATACAACTTGGTATCAATTTTAGGATCGCATGTGGAGGAAGAACCGAAACGAAGCTCATTATGTAAACTGCACGTCAGTTGACAATGACTTAAGTAATGGTATCGATCTCAACAGGAATTTTAATTTTCTTTGGATGAGTAAGTAGATGTTTTTTGCATATTTAATTACAATTTAAGAATATTTTTATGTTAAATAAGAAAACAGTCAGGCAAATATCGCGCTTGCCCGCACTTTGAATAAACACGCACAACAAGTTTACTTAAATCAATCGAAATAGAACAGCTGATTCAATGACACGTAAAAAGCTTGATAAAAAGTGTATAAAATTTAATTGGTTTTTAGCGATCGGTGCTTCTTCGAATCCATGCACTCAAACCTTTGCGGGACCTTCGCCCGGATCGGAGCCTGAAACACAAGCAATTTCTAAATACGTTCTCAGCCTTAAAGAGTCTGGAAACGTCATTTATTACTTCGCCTTCCACTCCTTCTCGCAAATGATCCTTGTACCGTACAGTCACGTATCAGGAGCCGATGTACTTCAAGTAGAAAACTACGCGGACTTGGTATGGCTTTACAATCCTCGCTTTTCTAATGACTATATATTCTTTATGCTTTTTGTATAAAACTATTAAAATCAAGTTAGCAGGAACAAAAAAAGATATAAAATGGGATGCTGGGCGAGGTGGCTATGTTGCCTGACATGCCATTAAAAATATTTTTAAATGAAAAACGATACATACTACTTTTATTTTACTTGTTTATTTTCAAAGTAATTTTTTTTGGTACATTTATGTCCATGGTACAAGCTTCGCTTAGCTTTGTACTAAATATCGTTGTATTAAACATGTCTCGAAATATTTACTTTAAATTCCACACTTATTAAATTTCGGATTTAAGAAGCTTGAAGATAATTACTGAACATTTATTATCTATGTCTACCCCGACGGGGATATTGAGACGTAATCTCAAATGTGTTTACAATGACACTCACTACTGGTATTTTATGCATATAGCAGTAACACCACTTTTAATTCAACGTGATTTTGAGAATAACTATTCTGATCTAATAATCAGTTTAAGTATTTAGAAGGCTGTCGCATTCAGACGACTCAAGCCTTGATGATCAAGGAGTTCTTGATATATACAAAAATACACCTTACAAACCTAACCAATTAGTTTGAAGTAAACAACAAGCTTAATTAAGAAAAATAGATTGTTTTCTCTACAAATGAAATATTTTCCAAACTCTGAAATCGATTTAAATCTGAGCAATCATAATGTATTTCATTAACATGGCTGGAAATAATAAATTATAGATATTTTTTTTATAAAAAATAAGAGTTTCCACCGATTTCACTTCTAGTTATTTCAGTTTGCTATATCAAATTAAAACATTTTTAGATTCTAAACGTACTCAGCTAAGAGGCACTTAAAATGACATTCTTGTGTGGGGAAAAAAATAATGGTGAACAATCACCATTATTTTTTTTTAACTATTGAAAAATATTTAATCACAGTGAATTTAAACATTATTATAACTCTACTATAAATCTACTTTAATTTTTTTAACGGAAATTAAGTCTTAAGTCGTCTTATTAAATTCACATTACCAATGCTATAGATTAATTGAAACTGAGATTTGCGCGCTAGATTTGCACCTCATAAACCTATGACGTAAGCAAGTAATGCTTGTTTTCCTGGTTCTTTTCTGTTATTTTTAAAGCTTCTTTTGTATTGTTACATAGTTTGAAATTGCGATTCGGGGAGCAGACAAGCTAACGGAAAGGCACGGAACTCCTTACCTCGTTGGGACATCAGCTGAAATCTTATGTGAGTACCGTAATATTTATTTATTGATTTATTTAATCTTTATTGCCAACCTTCAGTAAAACAAGGTAACAAAGGGTTGCTTAATGGCCCAAAGGCATTCTCTGCCAGTCAACCCAGGAAGTGGTGAGAGTTTATGGTAGGTGCAGCAAAAGATGTAATATCATTCCGTGATAGCTTAGTGTCAAAGTACTGGAGCTACCTGAGTTCAAATACCGTTGTTGGCACAAATTAAACTGTTAGTTACAATTATAACTAAGTTTAAACTGTGCTGAATTATCACGTACTTAGCGTTAGGAAACTTGCATATTTTCTAAATAATAATAAAATAAAATGTATAGAACGGTCCGCTACCCCACGGTGGATTTGCGTGGTGGACTATGCCTTTATACTCTGTGTACAAAGAAGTCGTTTGTGGAGTTGTGGGACATACATAGGTCTATTTTCACTTCACTTAAAAATCAGGTCTTTTAGTTATTACTTCGAGCAAAACTCTGCTACTAAGACCCTAACCCTATTACTAAGACTCCGCTGTCTGTCTGTCCGTCTGTCACCAGGCTGCATCTCATGAACCATGATAGTTAGACAGTTGAAATTTTCACAGATGATGTATTTCTGTTGACACTATAAGAAAAAATACTATTAAAACAGAATAAAAAAATATTTACGTGGGTCTCCCATACAACAGGCATGATTTTTTGCCGTTTTCATAGATAAATAGTAAGGAATTCTTCGTGCGCGATTCCGACTCGCACTTGGCCGGTTTCTCTTTCCTTGAGCGATCCTTAATCTTTCTTTCACATCTCTCTCATCTAATATCAATGCGATCGTGATTTATATAATAATGATTGAGACAGATAATTAACACTGTCATGATGTCAGTAGTTTTGATTTGCCGACTGCATGACATTGTTGGATTTAATAATCTCTTATATTATTAAATTTATTTTATGCGAACAGGAGGTATAACATGACTGCTGCCAAGTAATCGAAATAATAATTAAATGAAACGCGACAAATCTGCAAAATAATTTATAGTAATCCTTGATCTTAATAATTATTGATGTATGCTTTTTCTTCCAGATGAAGTGAGTGGTTCAAGCTTCGACTGGGTTAAAGGCGTTGCGAAAATACCCATAGTCTATCTGTTCGAGTTGCGAGATGTTGGTGAATACGGTTTTCTCCTGCCAACCGAACAGATAATCCCCAACAATGAGGAAATCATGGATTGCCTTCTTGAAATGGACAAAACCACCAGACTACTAGGCTACTATTACTCTGGAACGGTTACCATCACCAGTTCTTTCGTCACGCTGCTACTCGGAATTGTATTTCTGTTTCTTAGCTAAAATATAAATGAATAACATAGACATTTCAGTTGTAATCAATGACACTGTCACATTAACCTTCATAACGTTGAGTAATTGAGATGGATGACAGTGATAATGTCAACGATGATCAGCGTGCAATCAAAATATAATTTTATATGTTAATCTTAAGGAAATATGCCATTTAATACTGCTTACCCCTTATCCTTTTTTACTGTAAAGATATTTTGATATTATTTTTAAATTTGTATATTAAAACAAAGGGCTTACTGTAGGATAATAATATCCTGAGCTGTAGGGACGTTTAACAGACATAAATTTCATGTGGACAAACACCCAGATCCGAGACTATTATCTGTGGGTCTCACAAATATTGTTCCCGTGTCGGAGTCGATCCCACGACCCCTGGCGTACAATACCTAGACAACTGCGCCACAAAGTAATAAAATTCAATTAGCTTCGAAGTGGTAAGGTATTTATGTTTGGGCTTAATAACTATCCAAGATCTTTAAATCGAAAACATCAACTTTTCAACTACTTTTAACTTTATTTGAGATCGCCAATTTGTCTATGATGAAACAAATGTCAAATCTGTAGTAAACATGCATGTCTCTATTAAGATTCCACAAAATACTTCCTCAATTCTATTTTCTAAATTTCATTGTAATATGTGTCTAAACAATAATGTTATGAAATCTCGCTAGACCGAAATAAAGATATAATCAAGAGCTTCTAATTTTATCGCACTTTATTGTACGTGATTTTTTTGAAAGATTGTTAGTTTGCGGTATGTTTAAATCAGACTCTTGAATTGCATTCTGTTCTAATTGTTACAGTAGTTTCAGGCTACTTTCCATTTTTCATTCCCATTACAGTCATAAATCATTTTATGATTAAATTTCATAAAAGAAATGCGTATTACTTTGAAATTTGATATCGTATAAATTAAATCTTAACACTTCTTGAGCCGATTATCACGTGCTCAGCGGTGAAGGAAAACATCGTGAGGAAACCTGCATATTTTCAAAATAATAATAAAAAAAAATATTTCGAAGATATGTGAAGTCCGCCAATCCGCAGTGGGGCCGCGTGGTGAACTATGCCCTGGTACCCTCTGTACAGAGGAGGCCTTTGCCTAGCAGCGGGACATGTATAGGCTAATACTTCACTTTTTTTTAACTTCTTGATCTAGTTTTAGTTTCTTTTTTTAATTTACGTCATTGCGTTGTTTATGACATTGTTGTCGTGCTTCGAAATTCTCCGAACGAGATTACTCTGTCTAACATCAATAAAGGAAAATTATCTATTCTAACTTCTCTCAAAGATATCCAAAAAAAAAAAACTAGAAAATCTAAAATAGCCACAAACTTCCCTTCTATCTTCTGAAGTAAGGAACGGTTTACGTGAAAAGAAGTGACGGAATTAGCCGTCGTAATATGTCCCAAACAAATGGCCTTAAATCAGCGCGCGACCAACATTTCTCACGACAGAATGTTTCTGTAATTAACGGAGGTGATTTAGCAATGTAGAGAACGTTTAGAGCTCCCGCGGGAATCGGATTGGATAAGGACCCATTTATTTTTACCGCCGACACGAAGATCATGCGATATTCCGTTTTCTTACATATCTAGTTTCAGGTTTTAAGTTTTCCCAACATTATTTTGTGATGTTTTAATAATATGTTATAGATATTCTTAGTTACATAGAGGGATAGGTTTTTTTTATGTGAGAGGGTGGCAAGCGAGCCTGATGAGAAGTAATAACCGCCACCCATTAACATTTGAAACACCCGTAGGGTTGCAAATGCGTTGCCACCTTTTAATAAAGTGGGCCCCGGCTACCAGACGAAACGCAGAAGTGTAACACTTCTACTTTACGCCGGTCTTCTGTGAGGTCGTGGAACTTACCCGGACGGACCTGCCCATTCGTGCAACAGCCGAAGCTGTTGCGTGGACCTACCACAGTTTGTGTGTCTTTTGCACTAATAACGATATTTTACATCAATACCACACCACCGACAGCCCTCGATACCAACTCGACCTTGCCCATAACTTAGACACATCTTCAAGTAAGTTATGAATTGATAATCACTATTTTCAACATTAATCGAAACCACATGGGTTTTGAAATAATTGTCACAAGTCAAGATATCACGTATAAGATTTTTACTAAAACTTATAATTTTTTTTTGTAACTTAAAAGTTATATGAAATTGAAGACTAAATTCTTGAACTCAGTACCGGGGAAGCACGGACAGTTCCCGACCAAATCCGATGGCGCTAACGTCATTATGTTTAAATATTATTCATCATTACATGCAATCAATACGATTTATAACTTTTTATCATCACTTGATAAATCCATTAAAAATGTAGAATATAGTACTTACATACTAATAATAGAACTTACTACGTAATAGAACATAGCAGCGACGATAACCTAATCGTTGCTGCTTCACAATTTTATTGTATGAGCCACAAAACATTAAACGACGCAAAAACTTAAACGCACGCATGAGCACATGCGTGGCCCTACCCATAGCGGAGGGCCCAAACCCGTAGGTTCTGGCTAGCCCACCGGTTCTGCATCAGATGAAGCTTTAATAGTCTCGGGACTGAAAGCAAAAACATCAGTTAATACAAGATACAAGACGACGCCAAGGAATGGTTCTGGATCCTCAATTCTTAGATGACTCCGCATAAATATTGCTAATTCATGTTAACAACCACTCCGAAATTCACTTAAACTGTAACCGCGTAGTATGGATCTTTCTATATGAAATTTGGTGAAATTTCCGCCACTCAAAGACATCTACAACATCGTTGGGAATTGTGATGATTTTTAAAAACAACTTCAAAGTTCCTCATTCATAAGACGACACAAAAAAGTTCTTAGTTAAGTATTACTTGTTGCTGGTTGAAGTGATTTCCTCTAATAACAGTTTTGGCGGTGCGCCTACTATGCTTCTACCTATCCATCAAATGTGCAAAAGAACACGATTTATATCGTTATAAATAATTATTTTTATATAAATTGTGATAATTATAATATTTTTTGTTAATTTTTTGTTAAAGTTCATCAAGCGAGCAGGTGAATCGTCCAAAGTTACGTGATAACCACCGCTCATGGACACCTATAACATTTGAGGCTATTTTATAAAGCTATGAATCATTTTTACCTATTTATTTATTTTATTAAGGGTTTGCAGGTGCATTGACAATTTATAAAAAAATCGGTCCTGATTACCGCAGTCACACTGGTCCTCTGTAAGGCCGTGGAAAGCCTGCTCAAGTTAGGACTCTTTAGCGTTTAATAAGAAACGAATGAGTGATATGGAGTTTATTAAATGAACCTGAGAGTCACTTTGGTGGACAACTATTGTTACTATAGGCTACCATGAAGTGCTCGTAATTAGGTTGTGATGCGAACCGAAAACCCACAATGGACCCCATACGAAATTAACTAAAAATAATCGCGTCGTAACCGGGCACCGGAAGATGTGAGTACGGTTGACAGTAAATGGTAAATAATAATAAATTACGCCACCCCCTGACAACGTGACGCGTGACTGAAATCAGACGTCACGGACCGGCCACAAATCATAACGCACACCTATTTGGCCCACTGCGAACAGCGAGAGACATAGAGTAGTCTTAGTTCCCGAAACTTTGTAATTCTCCCTTAAAAGCGTTTATTATGCTTTTCATTTTAAGTAAGTTTGAACGACATTGGTTATTGAATATTATATTGCCAAAATCATTTCTGTTTATACATTATAAGTATATTGCTTTTAAAACCCCAGGTAACATAAATCGGGGTGACATAAATTCGACGTGTCTGTCTGTGTATCTGTTTGTCAGTTTGCAGGATTAAAACTTCTTAAAGACTAGACAATTTCTTGAGTACATTAATGTTATGTATACTATATACATATTTTAATGCGAATGTACGTAGTTTCACTTATTATAATTATGTTCTACGGAACTATTCGTTGAAAATTGGGACAGAGTCCTGGCGGTCTATTCCGCTACATAGAACATTGAAGTCATGTATGTTGTTATTATAAATCTACACAACTGATACTTTAGAGTATCACATATAAGTATTAAATTGAAAATTTCCCAAGTCTGTGTTGATGAAATTTCTGATCGATTGATCGCTATAATATTAAAATGTGAACTGTCCTTTGAAATATCCACAACGAAAATCCACAAATGTAATCGCGGTTCTCATTGTGAGATAATTGTGTATATGTCAGTAAAAAACTTTGAGATACTTACATTTAATATACTTATTATTATTAAATACCCTTTAATAGAATACTTAATGTAAGAAAATCACTTTTTTGTTTTGTTAATGAAATAAAAAAAATAACAGATTCTCGGCCTCTCTACTCATGTCGCTTTCAGCATAATGTTTTCAATCTATATGGTAATGTTTCGTAATGATTCTTTTACTGTTTCTATTTTAAAGTTCTTTATAATTATATACAAGAGGAAGGGTTCTCATAATGCCTAAAATTTACAAAAACACTGAACGTATTTTTATGAAATTTGCATTTAATCCAATTGAATAATAGTTTAACATGAATATGATGATAATATGATGATGATGATATATCTGTGGTAGGGCCACGCAGCAGCTTCGGCTGTTGCACGAATGGGCAGGCTTTTCCGGGTAGGTACCACGAACTCATAGAAGACCGGCGTAAAGTGGAACTATGACAAATAATTTCGCGTTTCGTCTGGTGAGTGAGGTAGCCGGAGCCCAATTTTCAAAAGGTTGCCACCGCATCTGTAAATCTCGGGTGTAGCAGATGTCCATGGGCCTGATGTTAAGTGAATACCGCATTCACTTAACATCAGGTGAACCACCTACTCGCTTGGCAACTTAAAAAAAACGAAAATACGTTATGTCGATCAAACATAGGGTTGGCAGAGATACCTTTAACATAATAATTAATTGTAATAATTAACAATTTCAGCAAGAACTACACGAGCGACCAAATTCATTAAAAT